TTGCCGAGACGAAATAATTTAGCGACAAAAAATATAGGAAAATATACATACATTTTTCCTTTGATAACACATGAGAGAGAGAGAGAAAGAGAGAGAAAGAGAGAAGAGAGAGAGAAAACAGACGAGAAAGAAATACAGACAGAAAAAGAATAAGAGAAAGAAAGAGAGAGAAAACAAACGAGAAAGAGAACAAACCATAACAACCCGAAAGAGAAATCACAAACTAGAAAATACAAAACGAAACAAAACGAAAGAGAAAGACAAGAAGAAAAACAAACAAACAGGACACCGCGACCCCAAACCCCCCGTGTCAACCAAAAGGCAGAAAAAGGCCCCAACAGACCCAGCCTGATGAAGTTTATCGCGTCTGAGGAGGAGACGAAGGGAAATAACTTCTGCGACGAACAGCTTGATCTCTTTCCCCGAAGTTGGAAGAGGAGAGACGGAAGGAAACAGAATGATCATAATGAGAATGATAAAAGTATGGCTTAGTCGGTGTGATTATCGCTTGATGATGATCATTAAACGATTGATTATCCTGAGAACTTTTCTTTGGGGAGGGCTAGATCAGTAGCAACTCGAGGTGTCATGGCGTCTGTTTTGATGATTGTTTAATGGAAATATAACCATTAATATTACGATTGAAATCATTATTTTCCATCCTTTTTGAGAATTGAAGAGACAAAAAATGATCGGCCATATTCACAAAGCATCCGTAACTTTTGTGACGTCATCAAAATAAACCCTATGTACTTAAAAAAAAAAAAAAAAAAAAAAATCAGACGCCATGACACCCCCTCGAGTTGCTACTAATATAGCCTTTTTTTTTTAATGGGACTGTTTTGGTTCGAGCGACTACCACTAGAGTCGCTAACGGTCATCGTTGGCTGCTAATAGTCACACGGCGGGGGGGGGGGTATAATTGCCAACGTAAACGATCATTTGAATTGGAAGGCGTGTCTGCGTCGTCATGGCTCCCCCGATCTATTGCCACCAATTCTCAAATAATCCCTTTTTATTCCTCAATTCAAACCTCAAATGGTTATTTAGCTCCTTTTTCCCCCGTACATTAGAAAAGAAAATTTCCTCCCATCTCTTCTACTAGAACATATTTCATTAACAACCTCCTCCTTCTACATAATTCGTTCAAAGCCATTCTCTCGCGACACAACCTCCGTATGACACTTCCGTCACGTGATTCGTAAAAAAAATAAGCAGTCACTTCGAAAATCGTAGAGACAGATACTTGGAGCAAAATCGTACCCCGATAACCGTTGAAGAATCCTCGTAGAGCGATAATCGTAATAATCGCACTGAGCGAAACGTACCTTAACTGTGATAACATCGACGAAAATGATAATAACAATATCAGCTTCAACAACAACAAAACAACAACAGCAATAGGAATGATAATGATAATAACAATAATAATGATAATAATAATAACAATGATAATGATAATCATGACAAAGACAATAATAATCACTATACTAACGACACCGATAATTACTACAATAATAACAATAATAATAACAACAACAGTAATAAAACAACAACATAAAAGCACGGAACCCCAGGCCAGCGAGCGGCTCACCCCCAGAGAACGAGGGCGGCGCAGACCTCCCTCTCCCGAAATGGGTCTGTGGAAGCCAAGCGAAATGGGTTTCGGAAAGCGACCGGAAATCCCACGCCCAGGCCCTATGCCGTGTGCGTCACGGATTAACAACAGTTGTAAAGTGAAAGGGTTGTTACATGTTTTTTTTTTTTTTTCTTATCTACCATGTGTTAGGTGAGACGGGGTAGGGGGTGGGCGTCTGAGTGAAGGGCGTGAGGGACAATATGAGTGATATATGGTAGAATTATTCCGAAAGGCACATAATGTTTATTCATGATTCTCCCTGTCTCACTCTCACACTCTCTCTCTCTCTCTCTCTCTCTCTCTCTCTCCTCTCTCTCTCTCTCTCTCTCTCTCTCTCTCTCTCTCTCTCTCTTCTCTCTCTCTATCTATCTATCTATCTATCTATCTCTCTATCCCTCTATCCCTCTATCCCTCTCTATATATCTCCTCTTCTCTCTCCTTGTCTCCCTTTCTTTATGATATATCCCGGTATACCGATCATGGACGCGAGAGAACCACCGCATTTCGAGACCGGAATAATCTCTGGCTGCCTCGCGAAATCTCCCTTTTATCGCCGCATCTCTCTACTCCCTTTCGACGCCCCCCTTTCCCCCCTTCGCCAGATATCTATCACCATTAAGCTTAGATCGCGGAATATTACACCGAAACGCGTCTCCTTTCCTCGAGCTAAAGTTTGGACAAGGGAAAGCGTGTCCGAGCGATCCGGCGTTTAGTCCCGCCTGTCCCGTCGCTTGTTAGCCGTCGCGCTGATCAGCTGGGACGTCGAACTCTGTCACGTCACGAGGGAGATGAGAAGTCGAGTTATTATTATCTTCCCCGTTTAGACGAAACACTTCTAATCACAGTCGCTATCGGCAAGGAAAACAAGGTAAAACAATTCTTTTTGTATTAATATTATTATCATTATTATTATTATTATTATTACTATCATTATTATTATCATTATTACTATTATTATTAGCATCATTATCATTATTATCATTGTTATTACTATTATTATTATTATTATTATTATTATTATTATTATTATTGTTGTTGTTGTTGTTACTGTAAGCTATATAAAGAGCCACTCTTTTATTTCATCAATTCATCTACCTATCATATTCGTTTGTTTAAAATTCGTAGGATCAAACGCACTGACTCTCCGCCATCAACAATAAAGCGCTGATCTGACAAGAACACGTGATTTCAAGAGCTCCGAATCCCTCCCGAAGCTCCGAAACTCCGAAGCCCCGAGCCTTCGCATCGACTCTTGAGCCGAGTCACTATCCGCACCTCGCCCGTACTCGAGTCACATCAGCTTTAGTCCAGGTCAAGTCACCTTAAGGGGGTGGTGGGTGGGTGGGGGTGGGGAGAGGGGAGAGGACGTCCAGTTCACTAGCTCCGAGGGACAAAAGACGCATTACAAACCCCGCTGAGTGAAACCTCCGTCCATGACGCGGCGGGTACTCGGGGACGGGCATGGCGTCGCCGCTCGTTTGTCTTCCTCGCATTTCGTCTACGAGTCGGGGGCGGAGCGGGATGGCGGGAGGGAGGGATGGCGGGATGGCGGGAGGGGAGGAGGGAGGAGGGGGAGGGGATGAAGGAGGGTGGGGGGTTGGTGGGGGTTCGGGGCGTGGGAGTTGAACCGTGGGTTAAGGACGGTAGGAAGGAGGGACGGGAGGGGGGGGGGGGATTTTGTGAAGGAGGGAGAGAAAGAGGAGGAAAATGAGAACGAGGAAGAGAACGAAGTGGATGAGGGGAACGAAAAGAAGAAGAATGAAGAGGAAGAGAGAGAGAGCGAAAGAGAGAGAGAGAGAGGAGTGGTTGCCCCGAAGATTAAAGGCGGTCTCACAACAGCGCCGGTGCCTGCAAAACACTCCGAGAGATTGAAAGTGGCCCCCTCAATTTTGACGGCCTCCTCCTACTACTGAGAGCTTTTGTCCCGGGATTGAAGGCTCAGGGAAAAGGAGACATAGAAGAAGGAAAAATTGATATATAAATGAAAATAATAGAAGAGAGAAAGGCGATCGTCCACAACGGGCGTTCCTCCCCTCGCGCCGTTCCTCCCCTCGTCCAACACTGCGGGCAACTTTGATTTAGTGGCGATGCTAAAAGTGCCAGAGGCGGCCCTTTGAAGGAGACTGAGCAACGTCGCTCCTCCCTCCTCCTTCCCTCCCTTCCTCCCTTCCTCCATCTCTCCCTGTCCTTCACTATCTTCTTCTCCATCTCTCGCTGTCCTTCACTTTCTTCTTCTCCATCTCTGCGTCCCTTATTTCCTTTTCCATTTCCTTCTCTTTCCCTTCCTTCCTCCTTCGCCATCTCTCCCTTCCTTCTTCTCCCTCCCTTTACCTTCCTCATTCCCTCCCTCCCTCCTTCTCCCTCTTTCCCTCCCACTCCATCCCTCCCTTACCTTCCTCATTCCCCCCTTCCTCACTATTTCTCCTTCATTCTTCCCTCCTACCTCCTCTCTACCCCTTCATTCCCTCCTCCCTCCTTTCCTCCTCCAACTCTCTTCTCCCTCGCGAAGGAGGCCGGGCCGAGGTCTGGGTCGAAGATGGGGATCAAAGCCGGTCTGACGCCCCCCCCCCCCCATGCTCGTCACTTCCTTGTGTTGGGTTTGTAGTGTGACCTAAGGACAATGATTGCTTCTTGTCACCTTTACCTGTGTGCTGTGTCGTGTGACTCGCAGTAAGGTCTAATCTGTCGCAGTTTTCTTTGTCATGTAACCTCTAATTACATCTACAGTATGTACTTTCTGTCATGTAACATACTATGCAATCTACTCTTTAAATTAATTTCTATGTACTGTACTTTCTGTCATGTTACCTACATAGCAAACGTCTAGGGTATATTTCACTACATCTATCGCTCTTACTAAGCGACAGCAATTATTTACATCGAAACTAGGAAAAAAAGGCTTACTAAATGTATCGAATCAGAGGAATCTCCTATGGCAAAGTATTACATAACATCATCTTCTTTTCCCTCCCTATCATCACCCTCATCACATCAACACCCTTAACCTTCTTACCCTTAAAGCAACACCCTTTTTTTACCCTTCCCTTCCCTCTCCCACCCTCTTTTCCCCTCAACCCCCTCCCCTCCTCCTCCCTCCTTCCCTCCGACCCCGACCGCATCACCACCGCATCACCATTCCATCACCATCTCGCTCCCGAGTCCCCCACGCCACCACCCCCACCATCGCCTGCCCCCCGCCATCCACACCACATCCCACCCTCGTAGGCCAATGCGGATGGAGGGACGAACGGGAAACAGACAGACGGACGGGTGAATGGGATAGCCAGGATAGTGCCGGAGATCGGACCCCTCGGGATGGTGAACAGTGACACGGCAGCGGGCGGCGTCAGCGGGGACTCACCATCGTGCAGCGGGTCGATGGTGTGGATCATCAGCTGGAGGAGGCCGTGGCGGAACTTGGTGCCCGAGTGGAGCACGGGGGCGCTGGGTCGACGTCCGCCGGACTGGGCAGGTTGGGGTCCCGCCGCGTGCTGCAACGAGAGACAAGAGAAGGCCGGTGAGCGCTCTGGTCGTCGGCTGGGTTATCGTTTTTTTCTTATAAGTATGAATGTTTTTTTTCGTGAATGTTTTTTTTCGTATTGTGAAAGTATTTTATTTCTTATATGTGTGAGTTTTTTCCCTATTGAGAAAGTTTTGATGTCTTATATGTGTGAATGGGTTTATTTTTTTCCGTTTTGAGATTTTTTTTTCTTATGTGTGAATATATTTTTTTTTGTAAATATGTGAATGTGCTTTTTCGTAGATATTATTCTTGTTGCTTTTCGCTATATGTGTGTGTAATGTTTTTTACGGATAAAGTAAGAAAGAGAATATGAACTTTAAAGTTATTTTTTTCTTTTCTTATGGAGAGAGTTTGAAAAAATAGATATATAGGAAAGGTAAAAAGCGGAAACAGACGAGCGGTCAGTGCCAATTCTGCGCATAGATTTTTTATTTAACTTTTTAACATTTGTTGGTTTTCTTTTATTCTTAATTTCGCACGAAAACGGAAGAAACATGAGATAAATATATACACAAGATAAAGCCGAGGAGAGAGGAGCGTTCAATATCGATTATACGTTTGCAATGATATTTTATTTATTCAATCATTTAATCATTTATATTGATACCAAATTTAGCTAGCATGTTATTTTTACGTATGAAGGAAGATATAAGAAAGAGAAGAATACTATAACTGGAATGCGAGAGGCGAGTACAGAATAAAGGAAGAAAAAAAAAAAAATTTAACAAAGAGAAGAAGAAAAAGTAAAAACAAAACAATCAAAACCACAAACAAAGCAAAAAAATAATAAATACAAAAATAAAAATAAATAATAAATAAATAAATAAATAAAGGAAAATAAAAAAAAGGGGAATAGAGACAGAGACAGAGACGGGGAAGGGTGGGGGTGATAAAGGAGGGAAAGGGAAGGGGAAGAAATAAATATTGAGTCTCGGACTGAGCTTCAGGAATTCAGAACGAAAGGGGTAAAGGGAGGAATGGAGAGGGACGAACATGGAAGAAGAGAATATTAAAAAGAAATAAAAGAAAAAGGAGGAAAGATATATGATAGGATAGATACGTGGATGGACAGATAGATAGGGGCGTGAGACTGAAAGACAAAAGAGATGGATAGAAGACAGACAGAGAGAAAGAAAGAAAGACAGACAGAAGAGAGAGAGAGAGAGAGAAGAGAGAGAGAAGAGAGAGAGAGAGAGAGAGAGAGAGAGAGAGAGAGAGAGAGAGAGAGAGAGAGAGAGAGAGAGAGAGGGAGAGAGGGAGGGAGGAGAGGGAGGGAGGGAGGGAGGGAGAGAGAGAGAGAGAGAGAGAGAGAGAGAGAGAGAGAGAGAGAGAGAGAGAGAGAGAGAAAGAAGAAGAAAGAAGAAAGAAAGAAAGAAAGAAAGAAAGAAAGAAAGAAGAGAAAAGAAAGAAAGAAAGAAGAGAGAGAGAGAAAGAGAGAAGAAGAAGAAGAGAAGAGAGAGAGAGAGAGAGAGAGAGAGAGAGAGAGAGAGAGAGAGAGAGAGAGAGAGAGAGAGAGAGAGAGAGAGAGAGAGAGAGAGAGAAGAGGAGAGAGAAGAAGAGAGAGATAGATAGAAATAAAAACAAAACAAAAAAAATAAAAAATAAAATAAAACAAAAACCACCCCCCTTAACCCTCCCAGCCCAACCTCCTTCAAACACGAATTCTTTTTCTTTCTTTCTCTCTTTCCCGTTTCCTTTCCTTCCAAATTCTCCAAAGCGACTTTCGGAGGCTAACGATATGCAAATCACGCCTATCCGCCCCAATGTACTTCCTGGCGGGATGTCTAATTATATACAATGAAAGTTAACGGTTTTTCTCGAGTCTGTCACTTCGGCAAACACGAAAAGAGGCCGAGAATTTAGATTTAAGAATTAAGTCGATGTCTGATTTTTTTTTTTTTTTTTAATTCTCTGGGTGGATGTGTTTATATTGTATGTGTGGATATGTTTTTTTTTTTTTTTTTTTTTTTTTTACTTTATCGTTATTTGTTTCTTTGTTCTTTTCTTTTTTTAAATGTCTATTTGCTTTTTCTTTTCTTCTTTTTAAATTTTCATTTGTCTTTCAGTTTCATTTTGTCATTTTGCCTCCGATGCCATTGCCAATCTTTACATGGATAATCATCATCTTTATCATTATCATTATTATCATCATTATCTTTACGAGCGCTGTGATTGGCTGTTCACCCTAACTGGTAAGAAAACAAAGACCAAGATAACAAGACAATGAAAGACAACAAGACAACAAGACAACCATTTTCTTCTTCTCACAACCAACCTACAACCTAAACCAACGAATAATCATCAGGACTAATATTTCGACCTTTTATTCCTTCTCTTCACGAATATAATCCTGTCATTGTAATTTCATTAGTATCAAGATTCCATCAGGCTTCGATTATTATTGAAATCCTTTATCCCTTTCTCTATATTTATCTAATCTTCGACGTGTCCCTTTTTGTTCAGGATACTTTTTTTCAGGATTACACACACATACACACACGCACACACATAACACACACACAACGCACACGCACACACACAACGCACACGCCACACCACACACACACACACACACACACACACACACACACACACACACACACACACACACACACACACACACACACGCAGAAAAAATATAATATACGTATACGTTTTCAATGTATAATCATGGCATCTTCCCGCTATCTAAGCTTCCATTTATTGTATTGCTTTTATTCCCATAGTTTTCTTCACATATCTGTGTGTTTGTCTCCGTCTCTGTCTGTCTATCGATTTATCTGTCTATCTGTTTGTTTCTGTGTTTGTCTGTCTCCGTCTGTCTATGTCTTTCTCTCTGCTTATCTGTCTCTCTCTCTATCTATCTCTTTATCCGCCTTTCTCTCACTATATCTGCCTTTCCTTCTGTTTGTCTCTCTCTCATCTCCCTTTATCACGTCACCGGCAACCATTCGTTTCCACTTCTCTTTCTCTCTTGCTTTATCAGTTCTCGCCAATTCCCTTCTTTTAGTCCCTGCTATTTACGTTCCTCTCGCATCCTCTTTCCCCTCCTAATTCATTCCCCTCACTCTTTCCTTTTTCTCGTTGATTTAGGATCATTTTCTCTCATATATTCTTATCCTTCCTTCCTTTCGCTTTCTACTTTATCGTCATGATCTCTTAAATTATTATTATTTCTTTAATCCTGTCATTATTTTTTAAATTTTCCTTATTATCCCTCCCCTCTTTCTTTTCCACATCTTTCTCTCTTTCTTTTCCTATCCTTTACCCCTTCCCTTCTCTTTTCTTTACCTCTCTCTCTCTTTATCCTTTTTTTTACCTTTACCCTTCCTTTTCTCTTTTCTTTACTCTCTCCTTCCCCTTCCCTTCTCTTACCTCTCTCCTTCCCTTCCCTTCTTTCTCTTTACCTCTCTCCTTCCTTTCCGCTCAACCTCCCCCTTCCCCTCTCTCTCCGTCCTCTTTCCTTTTCCCCTTTTCATCCACCTACCCTTTCCTCTTGCCTTCCCCTCACTCATCATGACCCGCCCCTACCTTTTCTCACTCTTTCCCTCCTTATCCCCCTCTTTCTTCCTCTTCCCCTTTCCCTCCCTCTCACTACCTCTTCCCCTCTTTCTCCCGTTCCCTCCCGAACTTCCCTCTCCCCCTCTTTCTTCCTCTTCCCTTTTCCCTCCCTCTCACTACCTCTTCCCCTCTTTCTCACTTTTTCCCTGCCTCCCCTCTCTCTTTCCCTCTTTCTTCCTCTTCCCTCTTTCTCTTTCTCACTTTTCCTCTCCCTCTTTCTTGCTCTTCCCTTCCCTCCCTTCCTCTTCCCCTCTTTCTTCCTCTTCCCTCCCCTCCCACCCCTCCTCGACACCCCCAAACGCTCTTGAAGACGCGGGATTGGACACTTGGTGTGACAAAGACTCCATAACGCTGGGGAAAATTCCTTTTATACTGGGTGATCAAAAAGGAGAGAGGGAGGGAGAGAGAGGGAGAGGGAGAGGGAGGGGGAGGGAGGTGGAGAGAGAGAGAGGGAGAGAGGGAGATAGGGGAGGGATGGGTCGGGAGAGGGGGAAGTGGGAGGCAGAGATTGGTGGAGAGAGAGAGGGAGAGGGGAAGAGGAAGGTGGCGAAGGAAGAGGGAGAGGAGGAAAGAAAAGGGAAATAGCGGATGAGGTAAAAGGGATAGGAAGAGGAAGAGGAAGAGGAAGAGAGAGAGGGAGAGAGGGATAAGAAGAGGAAGAGGGGATGCGATAGGAAGTGAGAGAGAAAGAGAGAGAGAGGGGGAAACAATGGAGAGAAAGAGACAAAGAAAAAAAATGAAACAAAATAAAAAAAAGCGAGCAAGAGACACAAACTACAAAAAAACAAACAAACAAAATCACATTACCCAAAGAGGATGACGAATCAACAAATCAGAAAACAAAAATCCGATCAACTAATCATCCAATCCTTTCATCACTGGCATAACTTCGCAACATGCAATGAATCAAGAGGATTATGCTGTCATTAGCCAATCAGCGAAAGCGAGAGGGAGAGGAGGAAGAGGGAGAGGAAAACGAACGAGGAGGGAGGGAAGGAGAGGGAGAGGGAGAGGGAGAGGGAGAGGGAGAGGGAGAGGGAGAGGAGAGGGAGAGGGAGAGGGAGAGGGAGAGGGAGAGGGAGAGGGAGAGAGAGAGAGAGAGAGAGAGAGAGAGAGAGAGAGAGAGAGAGAGAGAGAGAGAGAGAGAGAGAGAGAGAGAGAGAGAGAGAGAAGAGAGAGAGAGGGAGGGAGAGAGGGAGAGAGGGAGAGAGAGAGGAGAGAGAGAGAGAGAGAGAGAGAGAGAGAGAGAGAGAGAGAGAGAGAGAGAGAGAGAGAGAGAGAGAAAGAAAGAAAGAAAGAAAGAAAGAAAGAAAGAAAGAAAGAAAGAAAGAAAGAAAGAAAGAAAGAAAGAAAGAAAGAGAAAAGAAAGAAAAGACCGAGAGTACCACACCTACAAAGAAATACGAA